GGGGGGCGCTGCGGGAGGGGGCGGCCCGAGGGGTCACCCTGCTGTTGTCCAGGTGGTGGGCTCCGGTTTTCTGCCCCGGCTTCCTCTGTTCCAACTTGCATCCCCACTCAGAGCCGCGGGCATGGACGCTGGGTGGATGCAGTCACCTCGTGGTCTGGATGGCCCCCAGCATGAGTGAGGTCACTTATTCCACCCACAAGCTCTCCCGTTACAGCACTCACTGGACGTGTGAGGAAACTGAGGCACGGGGAGGTGTCTGGCCCAAGGTCACCAATAGAATGAGGACTTGAACTTCTGCAGGTTGGCTGCAGGGGTCTCTAAGGTACACCCATCTGGACCCTTGAAGCTCTTCCTCTGACCCAGTGCCCACAGGGGTCTGGCTAGAGAGGGCTCTCTGGGGGGGTCAGGTCCCCTTCTGCTCCCAGGGAGCTCTCTTGTCCACTGCCCTTGAGATCCCAAGACTGCATTGGGGTTTCATTGACCTCCCTGGCCCTCTGTCATCAGGAGGGTAGGGACGTCACCGAGTGCCTCAGTTTCCCATAGATCAAAGCACCTCCCCATGTAGCCGATTGGGAGCACCCCCCTGGGCCGGTGCTGGGCTGGTCCTCAGCATCTCTGGTGTGCAGCTGGTGTCCCCAGACACTTGACTCCTGTGTACTTAGTGACATTTCTTGCACAGCCGCTGTGTGCTAGGGCCACCATGGCTCCCCATGTGTCCAGAGCCTTAGACCAGTGTGTGCTGCTTCCCAGTGGCCACACGGACTGAGCCCTGGTCCGGGTCCCTCTGGCCCTGGGCAGACTGCAGGCTCCCGGTGTCCATGGAGACAGCCCTGGTCTTGCGGCTCAGTGTGTCCCTGGCCACTGGGGCGACCACAACCCCCAGGCAGCAGGCCTTCCCGGCTGCTTTCCGGCAGCCCCAGCCTCCCAAACAAATTAGCCACAGCACCTGTGTGTGGGCAGCCTGCTCCCGGCCTGCCCTGGGCAGACGGAGGCCTGTCAGGCTGGGGGTGCCACCCAGCACCTCCGTTTTCCGGCTGAACTCACATCCCTGTGCTGGGCAGGCCCAGGCACCCCCTCCTGCACCTGCGGCCGTGGGCCCGAGGGGCTGTTCTGCACTCCATTCATTCAACGAACATTTATTGAGTGCCAAGTGTGTGCCAGGACCTGACCTGGGCAATTGACAAGACTGCCTTCAGCTTACAGTGCAACCAGGAGACAGAAAAACCCAGGGCTGGGAGATCAAGGCGCAGACTCAGGTCCAGAAGCATTGGCACTGTGGGCGCCTGGGGCCCAGGAAGCCTGAGGGGGGCGGGACACTAGAGCTTTGGAAGGGTCACCGACAGATGTGGCAAAGCACAGGGGGCACGGTGGGGGTGCTGTGGGAAGGGCGGGGTAGGCAGAGACCTGCTGGGACAAAGGCCCTGAGGGAGGCCCCACCCCCGCGGCCAGCTCAGCTGCCACCCAGGCTGGGCGGCCATGAATGGGTCTTTCATGCCCTGGACCAGGGCAAGGTCAGGCCGGGCTGCTCGCTCCCCCCGCCCGGGGCTCCTGGCTGTCTGCGACCTGACCTGGAGGGGGGTGACGGAAGTTCACTGCTCGCCTCAGGGTGAGCCAGGGAGGCCCAGTGAGGGGCAGGCCTAGCACGAGGTCACCGGAGCCAGCAGCGTCCCCTAGTGGGACTCTGGGGAAGGCCCCGCCCCCTGGGCCTCAGTTTCCCCGGCCTGGGCGGGCGGCCTGCGCAGCGCGGAGCTCCCGTCCCGCTCCGGCCAGAGCGATTCCAGTGCGGGT